GTTATTGTAGCAACTACTATAGTGAGTCAGCGGAGCCGACCGAGACATGCGACTGGTGCCGGAGCGACGACCTGAAACTGACCAGACATGGAGGTTCTTCTTCTTCTTCAAAGAAGCCTTCTAATTCCTCCGTCGGCTACGAGAATGGGTTCACAAACCGGTCGGAATACTCATCCGGCGGGGGGATCAAGCATAACAATAACCGTCAAGATCAAGTGGCCAAGAGCGTTGCCGGAGCTGGAGGGGGAGTGCCGTCGCCTAGGACCGCCACACGAAGGTACAAGCTCCTCAAGGATGTCATGTGTTAGATTATACTAAACGAATATGGAATTAGGAAACTTTTATTATACTCATCTTTGGAGACTATAGTGTGTGATTATGTAACATGTATAATATAAATCAGCCATCACCGAGAGAGAGACCCAAAATGAAAACGTCTTTTTATTTATCTTTTTGTCACTTTTTTAATAAAAAAAACAAAAAAATGTATAACTAATGCGTGTTTGGCGTGAGCTTGTGTTTTCTTAATCAGCAAAGTTAATAATATTAATAATTGCATGTTCCGTAAAGAGGTCTCTTAATTTCCCCTTGAAACCTTTCGTAAAAGTCTTTTTTAAAAATAACTTCAACGGGCTTGTGACGCCAAGTGGTGAAGTGGTAAGGAGGCGGACTTATGATGCCAACACGTTACAAGTTCGATACATCTACTACGTGAAACTAAAACACATTACTTTGGATATCCACATGGATATGGGCATTTGTTTTCGGTTCATTTGCATATTCGGAGAGAGGGTCTATCCCTAAACTGCACCTCCCCGAGGGATTAGTCTGGATTCTTTGGCCTAGAATTTACCCTGAGTCAAAAAAAAAAAACTTCAACGTTCCATTTCATATATTTTCTCTGTTTCAATTTCGTTGTTATTCTGGAAGTTTTTACAAAAATTAAGAAAATAATTAAATTTTTTATTTGCCCTTATTTAATGCAAAGATTTATTTGATATGTGTAATAAATAAACTTAAGGATAAAAATGGAAAAATTAGTAATAAATATGCATTGAAATTGCAGAATGATAAATAATATGAAAAAAAAAATTAAATGTAGAATGAGAGAGGGAGTACCATATCATATAACTAGGTATGGTTTTCTTAAGATTCGTAAAACACCATTAATTAAGGCGAGTATAAAAGTCATCATGATAAATTATAACGAAAATATCAGTAAACCCTGATTGTCGACATGCAACTACACACGTGACGTCCGCCTGTGTGTGAATATAGACATATGTAAAGAACCGGTACCGGTACGTGATTGACACATTGGTATGGGGAATTAATGTGTGGATAAATGGAATATATACGAATGGTGGGGAGGAAATAGAAGAGAAATAGGTAGTACAAGTTCTTAGTTAATTATATTAGTAGGAGTCGTAAAGGACACCTAACATGTATTAGTAAGGTCGGTCCATTTTATACTTCTCCTCCTCTACTGCTATATATACATACTGTATCCTGTACCTTCGAGGTTACCAAGAATTCTTGCTTTTTACCAACTACGAAAAGTAGCAATCCTGTCTAAACTTCCATGTTAAGGTTATGTTTTATATGAAAATTCTCATGTTTTGTTTTAGTATATACGCAATCAATCATCTTTAGACAATGATAGAAAATT